CGGCGTTCGGATTGGCATTCCATCTGCTTCGCCTTCTCCGTCCAATATGCATTTTTAATGCGACGTAGCTCTCGGGTCAGTCGCCGTCGAAGTTTGCGAAACCGACTCTTCTTCCCCAAGTCACTGGGGTCTGCCACATGTGCAACAAATGCTGTATTCTTCTCCAACACCAATGCGCCAATCGTCGCATTGTTCTCATCAAACCAATCAGGCCGCTTACAGTTTGCGCGCCCGATGGTCTCCTCGGCAGCAGCTGTTACCTGGTCTAGAATTTTGTGTCACAGGTCGCCCACTGTGGCTATGCATTCCACATCACAAGCGTGTAGCCGTCGCCTTCTCCAGCTCAGTACGTTTCGCCACAGTACCGAGGGAGAGAATGTTAAATTTACGCCGGTTCACAGCGGCAGTGCAATACATTGATTTACGAAAATATATGTACAGTTTGGTCAGCACCAATTTATGGTCAGTGGCATGCAGTACACGTGTCATGCGCACTTCACGCTTATCACGCTGACGTACGATGACATAGTCGAGCAGGTGAGCGTGACCACTCCGTGAGTGCGTCCAAGTTGCTATATCACTCGCACTCAGTGCAAACCGAGTGTTTGTGATCGTCAGGCCGTGAGTGGTACACGGTGATTTGAGATCACTAGAAAATACAGAGAAACTGCGTGCGGGACTTCATTTGTTCTGAGCATTACGACGCAGTTTCTCTACATGGTCTGAGGAAACCGTCCCTCGCCTATTCACCTCGCTCATCAGACTAATCGTTGAGTACGGCGCCTCGGCTTACCATCCGATAACCTAGTGGGAAACTGAAAAGCTGGAGAAAATACAGCGCATCGCAACTAGGATTATTTCCAGTTTCCGGAAGCTTCCGTATGAAAAACGTTGTGAAAGGCCCGGACTCTACACACTATCCCACCGCCGAGTAAGAGTTGACCTTATTTTGACCCAACGAATACTACGGTTGAATCACTTCCCCAATCTGCGGCCAATATTTAACATGTGGGAACTCTATAACATCCGAGGACACCGTTACAAACTCAGGGTCCCCTGCATGAACAAGGTATCAAATCAGCTTCGTGTAGAACGAAGAATCGTAAACTTAAAGAATACACTACCAGAAAGACTAATAGAGACCTATTCTGTGAAGTGTTTTAAAACGTGTTGACGATTATTTCGGAAACCTGTGGTTTTGTGAAACGTTGCACATACATCCGATACCCGGAAATAATGACACCAATACGAATTCCTAACCGAAGAAGGATAAACGATTAACTGACCAAACATTACCGCTGACGATTCGCAATTAAACGTTTTTGACTTTTCATAATTCGAGAGTTGTACAGAAACTTTTCTACTTGCATTGTCTCTGTCTCAGACCTCTTTAGTAGACACTAGATTGACTTTTCCTAGTTACAGAAGTTTAAAGCAATTGGTTCCCTTTAACAATTTGAAAAGCACGGAAAGAAGACGTAGGCTGGTAGATTTATGTATTTCGTATTGTCTCCTCAGTACTATTAACAACAACCGATATGCATAGATATAGCTAACAGTGGGTGCAACCAGACAAGCTTGAGGTACAGAACTAACGACAGAAGACTACACTACGTCCAAAGCAGCTTTAGACTGACAAATAATTGTTTCCGAACACACAAGACTGGCTTCATCCGGCTTATAGTGACAGCTTCAGCAAACCGAGGATTGGTGTGTCGTAACACATCCTTAAACGCTGAGCCTAGCTCTATCCGGTGACTTGAGTCTAATGGATGTTTGCATATCAAGGAAAACAGCGGCCTGCGCAAACATGGAATCTGAAGAGGGTAGGCAATCTGAGCAACTACACGCTGAACCCATTTAGGTACATGATCTTTTATATGGGAAGTCAGCGTTCTATTAGTTCTGCCTAATGTAACTGTTTCCGTAGTCACATACAGATTGGTATACACAGTGTGAGTTGGCCCCAATAGGCTAAGCTTCTTTCGTTGGAGGTATGGGCAAATTTCAGGTTCGGTTGATGACGACAACTTGTGCAGCATAATAACTTCCTTGTGTAGCCGAAATTACACGCTTAGTTGTCTTCAGCGTGGCTAAATCACCTTTGAAAGACAACTCGATATACACTTGGCTACCGTGTGCACCAAGTCCTTTGGCCCTCGCGGTTGGCTGTTTCACGATAAATCTTCGAGGATAGTCGTTCGCCATTAATCTTGCTGTAATTAACACTATCTCATTGTCCAGACAGTCGGATGAACAAATTCGTCTGGATCGACTAACTAGAGTCTTCACAAGTGTCCGTTTGTACCGCACTGGTAAGAAGCTGATGAAGTGCAGGTACTAACCGGACCTTATCTTTGTACGATATCCAGCTGTTTGTGACGGTATGTTGTTTACACAAGGTGTAGGCGCCTTGACCCTGAATGTTTGCTTAGGGCATTAAGGTTTTCAGGTAAGTCCCCCTTCTCTCCCTCTTCTTATTCTTTATTTCATAGGTCCTCATGGTTGTATGGCAGCGAAGCGTCAGTTCAAATAGCTGATGTACTGCTGTTGATGATGATAATGACTGACCGGACCAAATTGATTTTCGGTAAATGGACCTCTTAATCAATCCATCCTCCGTGCGAGTTATGAGTATGTCCAGGTATGGCAGACAATTGTTTTGTTCTATTTCGCATGTAACCCGTAAGTTAGCATGAGCACCATTGAGCCGTTCTACCAAGTGTGAACGGAAAGTCAAGATATCCCCGACATATCATTTGTAGTAGGGACCTGAGCTATTTGCGTAGAAATGCTTCTTTCTACCATCAGCATGAAGAAATTAGCGAACACAGAACCCAGTGGGCTACCGATTGCTACATCATAAATTTGACGGTATGGTGTATTCCGGAAGTGAAAACCCACATGCTCAATGCATAATAGTAGAGATGCTCTTAGCAATTCAGCCGAAATTGGTAGCGAACAGCCACCGTGTTCAGCTAATTCGCACACGTATTTAACGGTCTGATGTAGTGCGAGATTGATAAACAAGGATACTATATCCAATGAACATATGACTGTCTGACAGATTGAGTCTATCCAGGTTGTCGATGAGTTGAAACGAGTCTTTAAGACTGTACGGAGTAAACTGTTGTTGCAGCGGAGCTAGCAGCTTCACTAACCAACGAGCGAGTTTATGCTGGGGCTCGTTCATCATTGAAAGGATTGGCCTGAGTGGTACTTCACGCTTATACAACTGTGGAATAGTGTTACCACTCGGCTTCACACTATGAAATGTATCACAGTCTAGCACATGGTGGAGGAGAGGAAATTTCAGGTGACGAATTATGCGCGTTTCGACATTAGTTATGTCTCCCATTTTCGTGAGCCGTTCGAATTTACTTGCATCGTTGAGTATGGCGCATATCTTCTCAGTGTATTCGGTTTTGTTCATGATCACCACTCCTGAACCTTTATCTGGTTGTATTACGACTACGTCCTTAGCTCGTAAGGCCTGAAAATGTCGAGCGGTGATGGCACATTTTTCATTAACTGGCATGGTTTTCACCTCATTGACGATATCGGTTAACTTGTTTCTGAACTAAATAAGCTTATCAGGGCTGGTTGGTTGGAGCTCCTTACACTGGTCAAAAAAGTTCTCAAATTGGGCTTCTATAAACTCTAGGGGGGACTTTGTAATCAAACCCAGGTGATAATGCCTCTAATTGCAACGCATAAAGTTGTACGTTAGATAAATTCATCAAGTACTTAGTGGAATCATGAGCAATTGGTTCATCCTCCTGGATGTGCGTCAGTGTGTTTTCTAAACGAGCAGAGCGATTTCGTCTCGTACGATCAAGAGTTGATTTACAAAATTTAGTGAAAACAATCCGGCAACACAGAGACAGATCCTCGAAAACGGGTAGTAAGCGTGCATACGTTTCTAGTAGTTCCGCAAGTCTGGTTTGAGCCGTCTCTAGGTGAGCTGAAGCCACATGTCTGAGGTTAGCCGCAGAGGGCTTGGGTTTATTTCTACCCAGCAGTAAGAGAACTGGACGAGGATAACGATGCGTGAAAATGCACTTCGATAGAAACGACATGTCCACACGCAAGCACACCATCTTGAACCTGAGACTGACTATGTGATGCAGCAACCTGACTGTTTTAGCGGGAATTTGTTGTTTCACAAATTTAAAGCAGTTAGTTCCCTTTAACAATTTGAAAAGCACGGAAAGAAAACGAAGGCTGGTAGATGCATGTATTTCGTATTGTCTCCTAAGTACTAATAGCAATAACCGATATGCATAGATATAGCTAACAGTGGGTGTAACCAGACAAGCTTGAGATGCAGCACAAAAGACGGGAGTTCACACCTACGTTGTACCCACTGTTAGCTATATCTATGCATATCGGTTATTGTTAATGGTACTGAGGAGTCAATACGAAATGCTTGCATCTACCAGTCTTCGTCTTCTTTCCGTGCTTTTCCTAGTTAGTTAAAAGTAAACAGTACATCATTGATTTTTGGCAGCATCTGATGTTATTGAATTTTGTACTCAAAATATCCCTAAGTTTTTTGTAAGCTATATGATATCGTCTGTACGAAAAATATGCAAGCTTGAATGTATTACTCTATGATGAGGCCGCGGGCCAGTTGAAATGTTAACGCGGGCGGCGTTTGGCCCGCGAGCCGAAGTTTGGACATACCTGCAGTACGCCGAAACCTTCCTCATTGCTGCACCTATCCCCTTAATCTCATAACTGCAAGATGCAGTACAAACAAGATAAACCGTTGGCAAACCGCCGCAGCTGCAGGCACGCAAGAGTAGACAGTATGTGCGGAATCAGAGCAATAACATGTAGTTGTGTGTCGAGAAGCATGGAAAACCAGCACGAAACACAATAAGTTACGAGAGAGAAATATCTCTGACAAAGAGGCTAGCATGTCACTCAGAGTGATCACTTAAAAAGGCGGACAAGCGGCAAAAACAAGTGCGATAAGCAACAGAACATTTGTTTACCTCGTAACCGTGAAATCGTCTGCTCCTTAAAGCATTGGAACCAACCAACGCGAGCGACTTGTCTGAGTTCACTAATGACAGTAAGACAACTATCTAGTAGGTCAGGGAGATGTAGTCGGAGATCGATAGGAATTCGAGCCGGTGTAATGAACCGATAAGGCGGGCTATGGGGTTCAGGATTGACCTGTGAAAGAATGGAGAAAAATAAGCGAAGTAACGAAAGCCAATTATTACTGCCAAAAGAATCGGATACTTGTCAGCAGTGTTCCAGTACTTGGTGGGCTTTGTTTGGCAAACGTTTGTTCTATAAAAAGTCACGTGTCTTTTAAACAACACTGCGACGCGGTGGATATGACTCGCCACTAAATAAAGTTGCCGCCCCTTGCTTTATTCCGGTGGAGCCCTGCATTCCAGCTACGTGATGCTAGAATTGTGGTTAGGATTAAATCCCTGTTTGGCAACCCACCAAATGGATTGAGCAATCAGTCAATGGCTCCCAATGGGCGCGATTCCTTGAATTCGCTCCACTGCCTTGCGGGTAGGCAATTCAGTCAAATGCTCCAGGTGGTGTCCCCTAGGTCAACAAAATGCATCGGACTGGGCAACCGCGTAGTATCATGCCCCTCGGAGAAATCATGGACTTCTCTGTGTTGTGTTAGGGGTTACTTATGAATGGAAGGATTTTGGTGAGTATTTTGTTCGTCGCAATCAGCCGACAATCCAGATATGTCGACCAGCTGTCCGGAAAAGCACCAGACGGCCGTTTCGCCCTATTGGGGCTCATCAGTGGTGCGCATCCTTCGGTCCTCTGCGGAGGATCGAACCCATGACTGCTAGTGGCTCTTGCCAACTAGCCCGCAGCTTATGCAACTGCGCCATGGAGGACAGTATCTAACTAGCGTGAATTGTTAGCTAAATGCGATATATATATGTGTTAGGGGTTCATTATACGATAACTGTATCTCCCCTTGTGTACTAAGTTGTTTGTAACCATATGTCAATTATCGAATATAAGTAAGGATTTTTGGACTTTTCATTCCTATAGTGGGAGGTCAGCTTATATAGTTATGTGCAATTTAAAAGTTATATGCAAAAGCCACTCAAAAACTCATTGAACACTCCTACCGCCTCTCCCACCATCCCGTAGGCGCCGGGATTTGGAGTGTCCCATTTTTTCGTACGATGACCACGCAACACTCCTAGCAGCGTGCCTTTAACTATACGCCTTATAATGGTGGCGAAATATGTGGTATATATCTGGATAACTGACGGAAACAAACTCGTATTGGAAAAACGGGCGCTCCATGTACTAACATCGGAGCTATTATTTCCCACGTTCTGCGGAGACAAAACTATAGTGCATGTAGCCCGGTTGCTGACGTCGGCTGAGAAGGTTCGCAATGATTTTCGCCATAAAACGGTTTCACAAGATCCTCTATAGCAGACATTCCGCACTACCGACATTCAGATCAAAGAAAGGAATTCCTGTCTTTACAGCAAATCCGTTACAAACATGGGCGACTGTATGGTTGGTGTGCAAATTTCAGCGTATAGTATTGACCTACACACCAAATCGGCTAAGTGGACCCAGTCTCGTCTCATTAGCTCGCGTGCAAATGAGAACAATGACTGTGCAATTGTGCTGTCAAATTCAAGTCAGAAGTGGTACGAAGCCTGACCGACAATGCAAGATTGCCAGTGACAGATGACAATATCCGTATGGAGATTTCGGGACAGAAATCCAGAAAAATCGATACATTATGTACAAAACATTGGCCAAGCGGTGGTATCGCTGAGGAATTGCGGCCCATCTTTCATCATCGTGGATGCTTCTCAGTTGTGGATAACTGCTTGATGTTCGAGGACCGAGTAGTGGTGCCAAAGAGGTTGAAGAAACTCTTACAGCAGTTTCACGTAAGGCAGCCTGGTAGCAACTGTACGAAAGACTTGGCATACAGTTCTGCGTACTGGCAATAGATCCAGAAATCGAAAAGTTTTGACAACAGTGTGTATCCTGTCTACTTGAGGCGTAGGTCATCCACCCAAATGCCTACGGCAAACTTGGCCAAAATCAGAAGAGTCGTGGCAACGAATCCACCCGGACTATACAGGACAAATAAACGGGCAACACTACCGCGCTTGGTGAACTCCATCAACAAGTGGTCCAACGTGATCCCGGCGCTCAATCCGACAGTCTAGCACACCACCAACGAGCTAAACAAACTGTTACAGTATTTCGGTTTAACAGAGATAGTAGTGACACACAATGGAACACAATTCACCCCAACTTCCTTACGCGAGTTTGGTAAAAAAAGAATTCGGTAAACGTTCTCACAACGATATGAGCTGCAATCAAATGGATGGGCGGAACGGCTCGTAGATACTTTTAAAAGTGCTTTTTGTAAAGCGATAGAAGTAACTTCACAGTACGTGAATCAGGCTTTTCTGTGTATACACCAGAATGTTTCAAACCCTAATGCCCCGAAAGAAAATCCCTTACAGAAAGTTTGTTTGGGCGAAAAGTCCGGGAACTGTTCGATAACCGTGTGCCACAGGGGGAGGAAGAACACCACAATGAACAATTGGGGAGGTCGGACAGACAGGTTTCGTAACTTTAAAATTAGTGATATGGATTAGGTGTGGAACACCCGAAGACCGGAAGGGTGGTAGTGTGGACCTGTTATGGGTAAAAAGGGCAAGCTTATCTAGGAGCCAATGGTTTGGAATGAGAGATGGATCAGGCACATCATTCAATTGAGGACGAAGCACGGAAGGACCCAAGGCCTCCAAGAACCAGTAGCTTTATAGTGGGGTATTCTGCTAAAGATTTTCCGTCACGTGGCTCGCCACAGAAGCTGTAAGGGCCAGAGGACACATAATAAAGACCAATACGAATGCGGAAACGACCAAACTAGCTGCAAGTCGATCTCAAATCCAAAATCTTATTCAGACGATATGAGTAGAGAAGTCACTCGAAAGAAGAAGTGGCCACACCGCACGAACGCGGACACAGGGTCTTATGGCGCTGAGCGTACCAGCAGCTAGGCGCGTGAGGAGCGGGCGAAACCAGTTCATGACCGACAGCACGGGAGATCATGGCGTGAGAAGCTGACTAGCGCAGCCAGACGTCATTAGTGTGGGCGAGTTTATGAATGGTCATGCTAGCAGTTAGTCAACTACGGTGTACCACGGTAACGCGGCAGACGTGAGCAACGGCCATATATAGTAAGATACGGGTGATAGCCAATCAGCCAGACGACAGACAATCGGACGAATCAAGACAAATGCACAAAGGAATGAAAGGAAGAGATCGCTACAATAGTGTGTAATCTATGAATATCGTATTATCGGTTCTTAATACACATCGGCCAGTGGCCGAAAGGACTGTGCATTTGTAACCTAGAGGTAACTATTTCGAATCTACGGTATACTCAGTCAACGCAAGACTGTTAGTGGTCGGGTTTCAGCGAAGCTTCGGTACAGTGTGCAGGTGTACTGCCTTAATACATACCAGTCAGTTGGGCCCTGACTTCTCCGACCACACTGAACCGATGGCTTAGGGTGAACATGATTTCGGTGTTATCCTGGTTGAAAATGCTGGCAGCAGTCGTCGCGAATAGATTGAAAAAGTAACTGCATGTGCATGGTCAGGCTTCCAATCTCAAATGAAGTGCATAGGCGGCGTGTGAAGATATGTTGCTTTTCCATCGTTTCGATTTGCACCCCACCCGAATGAAGTTCAGGGGTCAGAAATGAATCCTACTGGTAGCTCCCATTCCTCGACAGAGTGACTGGGAACAAACGTTTTATCGTTTTAAATGAGGTGGTCAGATTGGTGGATTATCGGACTCTGAACAGTATCATGGATACGGTTTCGAGACCGATACCAGCCGGACTGATAAGGTTGATCGATTTCACCAAATGAATACTGACGACAACCTTCATACTAACAAAAGTGCTTTTAGTTCGTTTTGATATTCATATCGCGCCATCCTGCAATCAAGGCGGCTATATCGCCTTTGAATACACATGGCGCAAGTTTCTTCAAAACTCAAGGTCGAGATGAATTGGATAACAGGAAAAGGAGTATTCGTCAGTGCGCATTCGCACCCCCGTCGCTCTTCTGGGGGACTCAGGGACCATTCCATGTTCGATGTTGCTCACATATCAACAACTGCCGACGAACGAGGGGAATGAGCAGAATATTGACTGCAGTCGCAATCAACGTGTGATATACGAGATATGGTAACCCATTAGTTAAACTGAAAAACAACGAGCCCGCGCTCTGTTAGGAAAGCGGTTTTGAGGTACCCAGAACACCATGGAAAGGGATCTGAAGAGTGATCAGACGTTAATGGATGGAGTCCGTCAGATGAAGGCCAGTTTCATTGGGAGCAATGGAACGGCATTTCAACTGATCCTAATTGTGTGTTCAAGTAAGCTTTCAGTAAGTGAGACGACAGCTAAGACGAACAGCTGATTGGCTAGTGGCCAGCTCAATTAGCCATACAACGGAATACTACTAAAAGCTCGCGGAGCTAATTTACCTAATGATCTAGGTGCTAGCCGCCGACCACTGTCCCAGATTCAAGCTACAAAATCAAGGCTGTACATTGGTTATAGAACCAGTACTAATTGTGATGCTGCAGTTCGCTCCAGATGTGATACAGCATGACAAAGTGACGTATTTGCGGTCGTCTTTTGCTCTGACTGCTTATTTATTGCGCGTGTTTTACTAAGATGCGACGCATACAAGTGAAAATCAAGAAGAAGCTGTCTCACCGATGCAGTCATAATTTCACAAGCGAGTCAACTGTATGTGATGATACGCCATTGACTAGCGTGCTTTGCCCTTGAAGCTAGCTTCAGAGTGTACATGTCTTAGGGTAGATGCCCCTATGCCCTCTATTTGATTACGTGTTAGCAGATTAATTACGACTGCATAGTGCTAACGCATCAGCATAAAATACCGAATAACCACCGCCGATGGTGAGAGTGATGTCCACGCTGCATTGACGAGATATCTCGAGGCGAGGTAAATATAGTTGCAAGGCTCGTGACAGTGAACGCAGATGAATATTTCGACAGAAGAGCCTGACAGGTGACCGAGGTTAAGCTGATATCAAAATGCAAGTGTGCGACAAGAAGAGCGTAAAGATACTAACAGGAGAATTGGAAGTGCTCAAAAATGGAATGAAAGCAGACGTACTTCGCTTGAATCCCTAGGAAGGCACATAAGTTGCTCATACGCGTCCCAAAAATCCATGACACATTTACGGTCGGTTGACTGGAAGAGAGAAAAGAAAAGGTTTAGTGAGAAAACAGAAAGTAAAGGGCTACATTTGCGATGCACGCATTGGGCAGCAGTCAGTGTGTCGAGATGGTGAGGTGGGAAGCATGACTGTACTCATGGCATCGATAATGGAAGTCGCTATCCAAAGCACTTAAAAGAAGCAACAGGCGAAAGAAAAGTAACCTTTTAAACAGTGAAGTGATCAAGGCGCTAAACTGCAAAAATGAGCAACATATGAACGTCTCCCCTGAATTGATTTTTACATATATATATATATATATATATATATATATATATATATATATATGGCGGGCTTCCGGTTTCGTACTTGCCTGTCACTGTGATCAGCCACAGGACGCCTGCGTCTACAGAGGGACTATGGACGGCTTGCGCTGCACCACCCACAGCTCCAACCACACACCCCATATCCAGTGCAAACCCGAAAGAATAAGACCGGGAGGCATGTGGATGGGAGCCATATTTCATCAACGGAGCCGGCCCACACTCCTGCACAGACAAACACAAGCACGCTGTCTTTGGGAATCAATCGCACACAAGGCGGTGGCTGGACCGTAGTCCGCTCCACACTGACTGCATAGAACCACTCTTTGAGCCTAGCACGACCACAAGGACCGTGCAACCCGTCCCCTCCAGCAACGACGCAGTGTCTCCTAGAGCCAGTATGGACGAGGCAGTGGGTAACAGATAGGTAGACACCCTGTCAGCATGCACATCAAGCGCAACCACACCGGGGATATCAAGCAACAGTCAATCACTTGGGAGAAAGATAACAAAGAAAATAAATCGAATAATGCATAAGGAAACGTGACAAAAAGTTTAAATTAATGAGCATAGGAAATAAGTTGTTTACGAAGGATCCGAAATACGTTCACGAGGTCAGAAAGTATATTTTACGGAAATGACACAAACACGAAAATGTTATCGAATTTAACCACAACTGGCTTAAGCGACGTGTGCAAGTTTATAGAAGAGCGTACAGGTAGACATTTATATGAGAAAGAAAAGCATTAGGACAAAACTGAAAACCTACCACCAGGCCCGTGATAACCGCAGTCGTCCAGCTATCTCGTGCGTTACTCAGGCATGACCGTTGGCGTCAGAAGCCGTTCTGGCAGTCGGAAAGCAGTTTCTGAGCCTCAAAGTGGTCCATTGAAGCATCGGCGATGATCGATTCCATCACTTTGGAAATCGTAGAGAGGAGTGGTATCGGTCGGTAGTTGGCGGTGTCCTTGCGTGTGACCCCATTTGTAGACTGGCGTAATTGTACCGCATTTCCAATCGTTGGGGACTTCACCATGCGAGAAATGGGTGAACAGCTCCGACAGAGGTAAGGCACAGAAATTCTGCGGCTTCGTTCGCTGATTTTCTGAGCCCTAGGGTGTCGTCAGCGCAGTGACACCGTGTTTGACTTGCCGAAGGCGGTTGACGTGACTACAAAGAGCTCTGGGGTTGGCAGAAATTCTGCGCACAGGCTGACGCTGCTGCTCACTTTTATCTTCGCGTATAAGGTGGACGCAGTGGTTATGGAGAAGTCAGTAGGCTTCCCAGTGAGTAGCTGTTGGATAGGAACGATATGTTCTCCATGCCGTGTCCATGTGGTCAATCCACTTCCGGGTCCGACTTCGGGCGGGGGTGAAACGTTTCTTCCTTATGGAAACCTGTTCGCAGGTCATGGTTAAGGAGCACAGTTCGCGTAGAGTAGTGCAGAACGTTGATCATGCGTTCTCGGCCCTCAAGTGAGGTTCCGATAACCAATTGTTTGCGGAAATGAGAGTGCTTAACTTTTCATGATCAGTCCAACGTGTCGTGTAAGTCTGCGCGCCGACAGGCCTTTCGTAGCGAAATAGACCGGGTAGATTGAAATCTCCCGTGATAAGAAGGTGTGTGTACCTGAGGGATAGAATGAAGTGGATATGGTGCAAGAGATCTGCGTCATTCTCGGAGGTTGTTAGGGGGTTTATGATACCAAGACAGCAAGTGTTTGGCAGTTAGTACGACTTCGCACCACATAGTGTCAGAAGACTGCAAAGCAGGTCTACCACGATGGTGCAACCGAGGGAGGTGCCGTAATACAGTGCGACACCACCGCCTGGGGTTGCGGGACCGGAGCGGAGGACAGAGATGTGAGGAAGTTGGATTTCAGTGTTGTTGATATCGCCGGACAGCCATGTTTTCGTTATGACTATTAAGTCTGCTGGCGTTGATAGAAGTCGAGATTGGAGTTCCGGGAGTTTGCTTAGGAGGCCCTGTGCATTTGTGTAAATGTGAGGAAGGTTTGTCTGCGTGACGAGTGTGAGAGCAATTATCGCGCTTCCGGCCAAATGGCGAGCGGCAGTACACCATTTTTTGTTTGGAGAAATAGAGCCGTTAAGGTGGCTGGAACTTGGGGATGCAGGGTGGATCGTCGAAGCAGGGGTGGACAGATGCGTGAGGTTCGTTGGGGGGATGCCGGTAGGGGTGTGTAGGGGAGCAGGTGACTCCAGGCAATGAGGCAGTTGGTTCGGTAGTGGACAATCTAGATACGGTTAGGGCAGCGTGTGGTGAAGGTATCGAGGGGGCTGCTGCTGCTGGGGGTGTGTGGCAGGCCGTGCGTCTCGTCACTGAGTGGCTTTCTGGACGTAAGCGGACATCTGGTGGTGCTAACGGCGAAAAATGTCACTTTCAAGAGACGGTGGGCTGTTCCTGTACAACTTATTGGACGGGGTAGGCGGTGGATGTTCGTCGTGATTACATTGACAATGGTCAGTACCTGCTGAAGAAATCGCCATTAGTCGCACTCATGCTGCTGTCACTGTTGTTAGGTTGTGTCAGTGGAATGGAGTTCTGGAACGTCGTGCACCATAGTGCAGGATTGGGTGGGTAGCACCGGTTGCTGTCTGCGCGCTCAGTCCAAGGGATGTCGGGAGAATGAGGTAGGCACCAAGGAAAGTGTTGCTTTGGAGTAGGTGCGCAGACAGCAGAATATCCTAATTGGCCGTGCCTGGCTGCAAGTCAACACGAAGGACTCTTGACTTACAGGAGTTCGGAGATGAAGGGTGGCGAGTCAATCTTGTGAGATTGCAAGGTCTAATCTCGGGAAGGTTTGGAGCGTCACAGATTGAGTTCCACATGATGGAGTCATAAGAATGTCGATTCCGAAGTTGCGGGTCGCTAGAGTCTGGAACGTTCGTGCATATGACAGAGTAATGGGTGGAACCATGCGTTGCAGGTTTATTTGGACGCGAACTTGGGGGGGCAGTAGGCTTCCTAGGTGGGCGGGCCTTCGCCGAGAGCGTTGTGCGTTGACGAGTGCTGGACGGATTGGCATTCTGTAACAATATGCGAATCCGGAGGGCTGGAAATCGGCTATTGTCCTTCGACTAGGCCATCGAATTTCCACAGTAGATACCGCGGCTGTCCTTCCAGATTGAGCAGACGTACGTCTGCGCGGTTGGCGTTATCTGGCGTCTCGACCACTCGTGATGACCGGAGTGACTGCGGTTGCGGCTTGTTGTTACGCAATGAGGAGAACGGGTTAGCAGGGAACGAGATAAGCGAGCCCACCATAGAGCATGTGGTGAAGTAGTGGTCACTAGGGATATCACGTGCAGAATGCGCAACGGCAGGGAGGCAAAGCAAGCAGATGTAGCGCAGTACGATTTGCGAATGTGAGCGGAGGAATTCCATGTCGGTTGCGTGGAGTGAAGTGTCACAGGAAGCGTGAACACGGTGTAAACACATTGAGCATGTGATGGTTTCGGAACGAGGCCACACACGTCGAGCGCAAATCGAGCAATTGTTCAGCGGCTGCACGGAAGTATTTGGCGAAACTAAGCTGATCGGCATGGTCAAGCAAATGACGAGTGTCATTCAATCCTGGAGAACTTGTTCACGGAGGAACGTATAGCAAATGACAAGGATCTTGATACGTTACTAAGACAGACGGCAATGACCGCACCTAATTTCCTGATCGTTGGTGACCTAAACGATCCTCATGCTGATTGGCAGTATGCTGAAAACAGGGCGGGACCTTAAAGAAGAAATTGGTGAATTGGATGCACGAAAATGCGTCCGAGTAATACGTCAATTTCCCGATCAGGAGTCGTATTGGGAGTACGCCTTCAACCCTTGATATCGTGATCGCCAGACATGGTCACTTGATTGACCTATGCGTGGAGCCACACACAGGTAAGAGTGGTTTTGAACATTTCACTGAACACACCGAGGCTTACAGAGAAGTACCGAACGGGGAAAAGTTTAGATGGCATTGATTTTAGGAAGCTGCGCAATCGAGCTCTGCAAATCATTTGGATTCCTAAACAGGACCAGACCTCTTTGGAACAGAGGTGGCTTTTACGCAAAAGTGGGCTCTTGCAGTTACTGAACGAATTTGCTCCCCTATGCCCTAGGACACATTATGGCAAACCCCGATGACGGAGGAGAAAGAATGACAGGGCGCTACAGAGACGCAGTGCTGGCTGGAGAAAATACCAGGAAACTCGAAGCTTTGACGTTGGCTGCAATACAAAAGGTGTCGAAACATGGCTACTAAATTGCAGCGGCAGGCGCAGTACCCATATGAGCTTAGATTGCCCAAGTTTACGAAAACAAATCCCAAGTGTTATTACATTTATGTCCAATCAAAGGCTTCTCTAAGTGAGGCGGTCGGCTATGTAACAATGGAGGATGGCAGCCAGGCTGTGGACGACGTCGATAAAGTAGAAGTACTGCTATATGTCTTCGAAAATCTGCATCGGAAGATAGTGGGTCAGCTTTGCCATCACAAGCACACTGCTCAAGTAGCTATACAATGCGGGAAATTAGTATCACTGTGCCAGAGGTGTTCACAGTGTTGGCTAATTTGAACCATTATAAATCATCTGGTCCTGAGAGTGTATATCCCGCCATAGTTAAGCCACTGACTGGTATCCTTCAGTATCTTGTCGCGGAGTTATTCAACCAGGCTCTCCAATAAGGCAAGCTGGTACGTGATT